CGTGATTGCTAGCTTGCGAAGTGGTACATGCTTATTTAGAAAGTAACGTATGCTTTGGGTTAAAAAGTCTAGTTTGTCATCAACAGAGACTAATTGCCAGCAATTCAATTCGATTTCAGACAGAGAGGAACGACTTACAACCTTAACATCTATATAATCTCTACAATAAATAGCAACTCCACCTCCCCTTTTTCCTATACGGTCATTGCGGAACAGTTTGTAATTTGGGATGGAGTATAAGTTGTCCGGAATATCTACATTAAACCATGTTTCAGACACACATATGGCATCCACAGAAGAAAGTTCAAAGATACTTCTAACATAATCAAGTTTTTCAATGTTCATGCTGCGAGCATTGAAGTGAACAGTTCTGAAGCCATCTGCGTGTTTACATAGCACATTGAGCAAGACAGTATGGTCAGCCGGCATTTAAATAATCAACGATTAGGAAAGATGAAACAAAAGAGAAAACAATTATAACAAATGCACAAACACTCAAGTAAACAACAATGAAATAAATAAGTGCTCATACATGTGCACATAAGTATACAAATTATCAGCATAGGTTTGGTGAATATAAATTTTCTGTACAAATATTGAGAGGCAAATAGAGATAAATAAATAAACAAGGTAGAAACAACAATATCAGTAGAACACGCGAATATGTAAATCTTAAACGTATGTATGTATAAATGTATGTATGTATAAATGTAAGTATGTATAAATGTATGTATGCATCAATGTAGACTATTAAGTAGCACCAACAATGTTAAGTAGAGCACTGCTGCTGGGTACAGGAACTGGTTCGCTACTAGCAGAAATGCGAACGAATATTTCACCTCGTCGAGAGAATACGCTAAAGAGTTTTTTTGACTTCTTGTATTTAATAGCAGCTTGTAGAATTTTTCTGTTGTTAGCGGAAAGGCTCTCAAAGATGCTAAAATTACTGTCACTGTCCAATCCGGCCAATTTAAGGGAAACAGCAGACTTGGACTTTTTGCGGTAGTTAGAGAAAGCTGAGAGAGTGCGAGTGCGATCATACGTTGAGTGGAACTTTACAATTACAGCGCTGTTGGGACGCATCAGCCGTATGTTTAGTGCGGAAGATGTCACGAACGGGGGGAGGAGAAAACTCAATTGATTTGCACACGCGCTCGAAAATATTGTACACATTTTCCTCGCTGGAGAACGGAAGCCCAAAAATCACAGCATCAGACAAATTAGTGCAAGTCTCTTTCTCGTTTTTGAGTTTATTCAACTCCTCTCTGACTGACTTTAGTTCAGCTGACAAGCCGAGCGCATTTGCAGATTCTTCTTCAAGCCGGCTACACCTACGTTCGATTTTGTCAATACGCTGAGCAAACGCTTCAATATTCTCCTGCAGCTTAGCTGTAAATTTACGCTCAAGAGAAGCAATCTCTTCGGAAAGTTGAGAGTAGAGACCGCTGATGCGCTCACGGATCCTCTCCTCCATCAACAAAATTTTATCTTCAGTTGATTTCAACGCTGCGAGTATCGATTCAGAGAGGGATCCGTTACTCTCAAGCCGTAGAGTTTTTGATGCTGGCGAATCTTTGTTTACTGATGATGCTTTTCGCTTACCGGCAGAATGCATAAGGTGATTTAGCAGAATTAATTTGTAAAGCGAAGACAAGTATCAGCAAGCGTAGGGAAGCTTCAACTCAGCAACTCAGATGCGTTAAATAGCAACACTTATTTTTACAAGGCGATTATACGAGATTAAAACAGAGTTTACGGGAGCGCAAATGAAACACGTCCGTCTCTCACAAAGCACTACTACTAATATAATCAATCTTTCGTTGTAAAATGTATGCACTTTTTGAAAAAGTGTTTCAAATAATATATTTTACTAGTCTTTCAAAAGAGAATATTGGTGATTTAGTGCATTTTTGAGCGTGCAACTACTCATAGAAAAGAGCAATATTTCAAAAAAGTGTTTTTTTTAATGACTTTTACACGGTTAGCAATAAAAAACCCCCCCCCCCCCCCCCAACTTATTGTTAATAAGTGGGATAAAAATGTGTCGATTGGTACCCCTCCTGATAGTTTTGGGCGTTTTTTTTTTTGTAACTTGTACCTTCAACTAGAGAATTACCGAGTTACTTTATGTACATGTGCACACCAGCCATGCACTAGGTAAACATTACACAAAAAATTATCAAAGGTGCAATAACACCATAATGGCTTTATTTCACTTTCACAGTGAGAAATAAGACAATACGCAAAAATATGGCTTTATTTCTCAATGAACAGCGTGGCGACGAATAACTGTTACCCAGTTTTTTTTTGAGAAATAAAAGGGTCCTTTATAAATTTTGCGAAAAAAGTATTTTATTGTTAATTTTCCTCAGATTTTACTTTAGTCGTATTAGTTAGTTTTTAAATTTTAATCCTTGTTTACATTTGCCAGCAGTGTAAACTTTGAGAGAAAAGTTCATTTGGCACGCAAGTCTTTTTCAGGTGTATTTTTTCTTAGGCTTTGTATAAAAAAAAGTACAAAAAAGCAAAAAAACTGTATAAGGTTGGTCGAATGAATGGCCGTCCTAGTCTCCAGTCCAGAGTCTATTAGATTTTTGAGTATGAGGCCTTATTTTGGACAGAAGGGGGAGTATAAGGGACTCAAAATGGAGAAAATTAGCCTATGGTTACAGAAGATATGGAAGAAATTAACTGACGAGGACCTGCGTGCCAAATGAACTTTTCTCTCAAAGTTTACACTGCTGGCAAATGTAAATAAGGATTAAAATTTAAAAACTAATTAATACAACTAAAGTAAAATCTGTGGAAAATTAACAATAACATACTTTTTTCGCAAAATCTATAAAGGACTCTTCTATTTCTCAAAAAAACCTGGGTAACAGTTATTCGTCGCCACGCTGTAAAGTGAAATAAAGCCATATGGCGTTATTTTTATGGCTTTATCGCACGGCATCGAAATTAATGGTTAAAATACGTCGTAAATAAATTATATTATTCGAAATAAAGCTAACCACAGTGTTATTCAGGATACTAAGTAATAATTATTATTTTACACGCTGCATGTCGTTGATATTTTTGCAAAACCGCACAAAAATCTTAACATCGTTATTAAAACAAAAGATTTGTAAAATTATAGCTAGAGAAAATACCGCCTGCCAAAGCAATGCCTTCAATGAAATAAGATAGTCGGTTTTACAATTGGTCGATGGGCGCTTTTGCAAAAACATCGACGATATGTATGTATGAATGTATGGAATTTATTACTTACCGAAATATTTTTTGAGTGAATACTTGTTCATCGAGGTGAATTGATAGTTTTACAAAAACACCGTAGAGGTCCTTAGCATCTAGTATATATAATATAAGACATTTATATGCAGAGCATTCGTACTGATGAATATGTATATCTCTTTTAATACATTGGAAGGAGCAATACGTTTTATAGCGACAATTCAAGCAAGTATAAACTTGATCAATTTTACGCAAACACAGTTCACAATGAAGTAATGGTACATTAACATTTTTACTAATTGGTTCTTCTAGCAAAACGACGCTCCCTTCCGGCAGATTGGCATTTGCAAAAACTCCGCCCACTTCATCTTTTTTTTTCTTATGATCTCTGGAATCAAAATACATAATAAATAAGACATTTTGAGCTTTACCATTAAAACTTACACATAACACGCCGAGGATATTTGTTGTGCGTCTTTATTTTCATTAAACCCTTGATATGGTACATCTTGCCATGAAAAATCTTCACATTTGGGGACATCGTCCTCAGAATTGTCAAGCTCACATTCAAAATGGCAGATGTGGTTGTTCAATTTCTCTAAA